AATCATAGAGTTTATAATACTATTAACGATCCTAATGTAAAATTGAAATTATGGCATGAACGATACGGACATTTAAACTACGATTATTTAAGAGCGTTAGCCAATAAGAATGTGGTATACGGATTAGATTTCTCGTCGAAAAGTCAAAAATTGCCTTGCGAAATATGCAATCAAGCTAAAATTCACGAATTACCATTCGCGAAAGGTACGAATCCAGCGAAAAATGTTTTAGAGTTAGTACATACAGATATTTGTGGCCCGATAGATACAAAATCGCATGGAGGTGCGCGTTACTTTGCGACATTTATCGACGATAGAGCGAGATATGTAGAAGTAGTATTTTTGAAATCTCGTAGTGACATTTCAGAAGAATTTAAAAAGTATTAGCTGCGTGTCAAAAAGCAAACAGGATGTAAAATAGTTCAATTGCGTAGTGATAATGCCAAAGAGTATGTCAGTCAAGAATTTAATGAATATTTAGAAAGTCAGGGCATCACTAGACAACTATCAGTTCCGTACACACCGCAGCAAAATGGAGTCGCAAAACGTGCAACTAGAACAATTGTCGAAATGGCGCGCGCAATGCTGATACAATCGAATGTTCCAAGGGGTTTGTGGGCCAAAGCCGTGAGTACAGCGGTATTTTTAAGAAATAGTTGCCCTTCAAAGGCAAACGGTGGGGTGACACCTTATGAGTTATGGTTAGGATACAAACCAAATGTCAAATTTTTAAGAATTTTTGGATCGCAAGCAACATTTTTACGAAAGGGGCAACAGTATTCCAAATTTGAGACAAAGGGAGAAAAGGCAATTCTTGTAGGATATTCTATTGAAACAAAGACGTATAGATTATGGATTCCGGGTGCTACAAAAGTAATTAAAAGTCGTGACGTTCGTTTTATTGAAAATATGAGTAGTAAGATAGATTGTGTAAATATAGAGTTATTGTTTGATGAGAATAAGATAAATGAAGAAGAGATACTAGAAAACGGGTCTATAGAGGAATCCACAAGTAGATTCGAAGATGAGACGTTAGAGAATTTGTATGAAAATTTAAACTCCGAGACATACGAATACATAGATAATGAATTAGGTCAGGACAATTCAGAGAGAAAAAGAGCGCGTGGTAGGCCAAAATTAATTAAAACTGGAGAAAGAGAACGACCTAAAAAACAGTATCAGATGGCAAAAGTTGCAATAGGTCCGGTAGACAACGATCCAGAAACGATAGAAGGAGCCATAGATAGACCAGATAAAGAGCAATGGCTAGAAGCTATGAAAAGTGAATACAATTCATTGTTAGAATGTAACACATGGGAGTTAGTCGATAGAATACCGGAAATGAAGATAATTTCTTGTAAATGGATTTTCCATATAAAAAGGCTCCAAAACGACGAAATAGATACATACAAAGCTAGTTGCTCGCGGTTGTGAACAGAAATATAATGTAGATTACTTATTGTTAGATGTATATGCTCCAGTTACTCGAATACAAACTGTAAGGACGTTGTTGGCAGTAAGTGTAGAAATGGACTATTATGTTCAGCAAATGGATATACTAACTACTACGTACATACAAGGCGAATTATCGGAAACAGTATACATATATGGAGCAACCGCCGATGTTTGGATATAATAAAAATAAAGTATGTCGTTTGCATCGTCCGATATATGGATTAAAACAGTCTGGCCGTGCGTGGGAAAATAAATTAAATGAAAAATTAAAGAAGATCGGTCTGTACGCGTCGAAAATAGAACCATGTGTATATACTGGTGTGGCGGACCGCCGTCGAAAATTCTTGACGCGCGCGAACGCTCGCTATACGGCGCGAGCGTGGAAGAACATTCGCGAGCCCATGCGCTGGAACATTCGCGACGAGGCGCGTGCGGCGAGGCGCGCGCGAGAACGTTCGCGAGCCAGAACGTTCGCGAAAAACAATCGACAATATAAATCGGCCGGTTCGCGATCAATCAGTCAGTCGATGTCCAGCTCGCACACCGTACACTCCAAGAGTCAACGCGCGTTTCCATTTCTGTACAAAGTCCAATTTTACAGTTTGTAGTTATAGTTTCTAGTTCATAGTTAATTACTTTAGTCTGTAAATAGTTAAACGTTTATTTTAATAAAATAGTTAAGTTATTTAATCCGCGTAATTAATCCACGCAACCACTTCAGCATCTAGATCCATTGTAAAATTGCGTTATTTTCTTGCGTTGCGTATATCATTATAAAACCGAGTTACTGAAGTAGTTAGTTACCGTTTTGCGATTTGCGATATCAACAAGTCTAGTATAGGTATATAGAATATACAATATAATAATACTATATGAATTATACATATACAATACACAATAATAACACAACACATACATATGTAGCTGTATGCCGATATTCACATAATTGTAAAAAAATAAGGTGAAGTGTGACAAGTTAGGAATTAGAGCGTGATCCATTCATTTGATTCTACATTGATTCGTAACAAGCAACTCGCTCGGGATCGGCCAGTTGCTAATTTCGAGGCTCGAAACTGTTGCCTGTTTCGAGGCAATATGTATTATGTACATGTTCCATCCACGAATTTTTACATGTATTAAAAAGGGAAAGCATGTTATGTTCTGTCCCCGTCTAAAGAATAACATCGCTGCTCGACCGATTACTTTATAACAGTGCTCGGATGTAGGTGCCCTTTTCGAGCCGATTTCGGAGTCGACGCCTACCGTGCTCCTACTACCGCGCTCGACTGCCCACGTGACGCCGTGCGCCAGGGACGTCGCACGATAGATTTGTCGGGC